GGCTAAATTTTAAACATTCACGGAAGTAGAGAAAACAGTACAATGAACCCCCAGATAACCATCGCTCTGGTTTAACAATTCAAGATTTTGCCATGTTTGCATCATATCCTTATTATTACTATCATTATTATTACTATTTAAACATTTGGTAGCAACTGGCATGTAACACATCAGTTTACTCCTACACAGTTCAATACAGATCAACGTATTTTTTACAGAACTTCAATATCATTAACCTCTAGAAAAACTAATGATAGTTCCTGGCATCATTTAATACCTAGATCATATTCAAATATTTCCCAATTGTTTCAAAAATATATTCTGTAGTTTATTTCTTCTCATTGGAATCCAAACTAGGCCCACTCATTTCATGGGACTGTTAGGTCTAATAAATTTATTTTAATCCAGAATAGTCCCCCTCCGATCTTTTCTTTGGTAAAATGATATAGCCACTTTTTTATTAAAAAAAAATTTATTGAAGTAAAGTTGACATATTGGTTTCAGCTGTATCTCCCACCCTTTTTAAAATTCTTGACCAGTTTCAAAAAGTGGATCACTTTTTTACCACCCCAAATTTGTGGTATCTTTTAACTTAATCCTCCCTCCCCCATATTTCTTACACATTGATAATTAGCTCTAGAGCTTGATTAGATTCAGGCTAAAACAAGTACTTAAGGAAAGTGAAATAATAGGGAGGCACTGGTAAGGTGTAAAGTGTAGCAATGTGTGATGCAAAAATAAATAAGAAGAAAATAAAGGAAAATAAAAATTCAAAACTCAGTTGTCACCATGAACAGGTCGATTTTCTACAGATGTTTCTCATGGAATGAGAGTACCCTTTTTGTTGTTGTTAGAAAGGAATGTGGTATTTTGAGCTATTGAATCTGCTAGAAATTTTAATTGTTTGATACAGTAACTGGACACCCAGCCTTTTGAGAACTACATAAAAGAAAAAGCCTGCTCCAGATACAGAAAGGACATAGCTCACCTCAGGCAACTGGCACAGACATAGGGAGCGTGATGTAAGCATTTCTCTCTCTACAGAGGAAATGCGTCTACGGAGAGTATGAGAAGTTTGTCTCCACACAACTGACATGTGATCATTGTGAGTCCAAACCAAATGCATTAATCTGGAAAAAGCAGTACTGGCAGATTTCTTTTTCCTTCATTAAGCAATGACCTCACACAGAACAACGCATTACTTACAGCAGCTGCGTCATCTTTGAAATCACAAGTAAAGTTTAAAAACACTGCCTACAATGGAAATGGACGTGCTCTAGACCAGAGCTCCCATAAACACATACAGTGAACCTAAGGACCATGCTTCCATTCTTTACTGTCCGATTTACAAAATTTTTATAGAGGGAAATCTATGATTCCACTGCATCCAATGTATTTTGTGTGACTTTACGTTAGCTGGGGCAAAGAGGCTATGTACCATACATGGCACATATGTCTTGTTTACCATTTAGCACACACACACACAGATCCATGTCTAAGACTGGTGGCACTCTCTAAGTGTTCACATAAAAGGATGGATACATCGGAAGTACAACTTTAGGACCACTGAGTGAAAACAAATACCAAATCCCACTTTGAGATATAAAATGAGTTCATATGTCACTGTCCTCTTATTTCCAGCTTCTGAATCCATGGGTATCATTTATGTTTTTGTCATGTGACACAGAATAAGCTTCTCTGAATGCCCCCTACCCCCCAATCTACTTACAGAAAAGCAGTTACTGGAGATTCTGTAGAAGTGAGACCCAGGTAGGTGAGGATTCCTAAATGTTTTTACCTACTTGAACTATAATAAGCTGCATCGAAAGTAAGAGCCATGTATGTGTTTTGTACAAATAAATACAGAGGTTAAGATTGATTCAACTTTATACCAAGAAACAGAGCAGAGCTACTTGTAGAAATACTACCTCCTAGTGGAAAGATCGTTTTTTCCTTTGCTTTATAAAGCAATGGAGTATAGCATAGTTAATGACTATGCTACTCTTCCGAATTTAAAATTACAGTTAGATAAATTTTAGTTTGCTAATTAGCACCTCTAAAAACTCATGTCATGAACTCTGATTTACAAACTTATCGTCTTACTAAAACGACAACTTATATTTTCTATGTGCAGTTTTAGTAGTGGTGCTTAGATTGAAAACAGAACAAAACTTATTAAAAGTCATCACTGTAGTTACACCCTGAAAGTCCCAGAAACCTATATACCAATGCTTAAAAATGAGAGAGATCTTGTAGAGGCAATAAGATATGACTATTTAACAACCAACACTCTGTTTTTGAGTTAATGAATCAATACTTTTCACTCAGTAAAAGAGCAAGGAGACAACTTTTCATTCTATGCTTTGACACAGATAATGCAAAATCATAGATAATCAAACATAATTTTTATTTGGTTTTGGAGTATTTTGGTACATAAAGTAAAACATGGCTGCCTAACACTCTGCATTCAACAAAATAATACACAGTGAAGAACTGGAAAATTATCCATCTTTCTCAATGGAATTATTTCTTAATCTTATTGTTACCATGAAACGAGTATTTTACATGAGTTTGATTGCATGAGTTTGTCCTATGATTTGTATTTAATGCCTTCCCTAAATTGGAAGAAATGAGGTATTTTATATAAATTTCACACTGAGCTATGAGTTACATAAAAGAATTAAACAACCTTACAACACATATCACAGTATTAAAATTGTTGCTTTATTGAATGTCACCTTTCACTGGATATTAAATATCTTGAGGGCCATAACTATAATTTTTAACCTACCCTAGCACCTCAACAAAATTTTGACTGAGTGGATGAATACGTGATATTAACAAAAAGTTGCAAAACTTTAATTTAGATAGCTCTGATTAACTGTAAAATCTGAAATGATATTTGGAGTCACAAGATGTGGGTTCAAATCTTACTTTATCACAAATTATGTGATTTTAGCCTCTACCTGAATGAGGCTCAGTTTTCTCATCTGAATAAAAGGAACAGCACCTGACATGTACTTCAGGGTACCTGTAAAGGTAAAATGAGGTAATGGACTTGAAAGTCCTTTACAAGTACCAAACAAATGTAATTTCCTGCATATTCAGGTAAGAAATATATGTATGAAATAAGAAATCTTTTTAAGGTACAGTGTGACAATTCACATTAAAAGTATGTACCATACATACCATTTTTCCCAAGTGAAAACAGCCTAACTCCTCTCTTCAGCCTACAAATACACTTAAGACTACTCATCCCCCCTCCCAAATACACACACACACACACACACACACACACACACACACACACACACACACACACACACACACACACACACCATGCTTCAAAATACAGCCCTCGGTGCTTTATTTTCTCCAATAAATACTAGCGACGAAGGGTTGACACTGGTGCAAAGAACTGAAATCTGACTCCTCCACCATGACCTATAGAACAGCTTCAACATGGTTAATCCATTGGTTTCTTCTCATTTTATTTTCTCTCTGAAGATTTCTTTTTTTTTTTTTTTACTTACTTACTTACTTATTTATTTTTGTATTTTGGCCATGCTGAACGGCATGCAGGATGCTGACCAGGGATCAAATCTGGGCCTCCATATTGAAAGCACCAAATCCTAACCACTAGGCCACCAGGGAACTCCCTGAAGATTTCTTTTCCTCTCATATCTATGCTGGCTTCTTTCTCCAAAATGACTATACATTTTTTTCTTCTAGGACCAATATTTTTGACTGGTTCAGCTTCTGGCTCTCCAAATGCAAGTGTTGCATGAGGTTTCATCCTTGGACCTCCCTTCTTCTCACTCTATGTTTCTACAGAGATGATCCAGCCTATTCCAGCAGACTCGGGCATTGCCTCTGCATAGCCAACTCCCAAATTGCTGTCTTTTTCGCGACTCCCTCCCAGGTTCCTGGTCTCTATTTCTAATTATTGACCACATAATTTCCATCTGGATGTACTTCAGTCTGTGTGTCAATCTCACTATCCCTCCCCCTTGCCCCAAACCTCCTCCCCATCTTTGCTGCCACTCTAGGTAGTCAGCCAAGCAGAGACTGTGGAGGCATCAGGGACTTCTCCACTCTTCCTCATCTCTTACCTCCATGATCTAGGAACAGGATCTGCAGATTCCATCTCTGAAATGTCTTGCTAATTCATCTACTCTTGCCTCTGTTTTAATTTCCACTGCATTCAGGTTTCATTATTTCTTTTTAAAAGTATCATGACTGCCTCTTAACTAATCTCTCTGCTTTAGTCTCTCACAAATTAAATCCATCCTGTTAAATGCAATGCCAAGGACGTAAAAACACTCTCCTACTTTCTATGCTTACTCTTTGCCTGGAAGATAAACTCCAAACTCTCTGACACAGCATTCAAGACCTGAACTAATCTGTTTCTAACCTGTTTTTCCAGTAACTCCTGACCACACCTTTCTCTTTCCAGAACATGTTATACACGTACAGCTTCATGCCCTAGTTTATGGTATTCCCTTTACCTGTTGTGGTTGTTCTTTATTTGTCAAAAGCCTGTACATCATCTTTCGGGCGCATGTGGTAAGTCATTTTCTCTGTAATACCTTCTCTATTCTGCCTTTCACATAGAATTAATCCTCCCTTCTCCTGTACTCTTTGGCTATTAAAATTAAAGTGTTAGAAGTGTTTATCTCTTCCACTGCATTAGACTCAAAGGGAAAAAGTATTACTCATCTTGATTTCACCTATGATTCACACAACACTTGACAAATAGAGGCTACCCAATAAATACTAAACTGAATAGACCTATTCCTGATTTACATAACAAATACAGAGTACAAACTTTAAGAATAATCCTTATCTGTGTAACATATAAACTATTGGGTTGGCCAAAAAGTTCATTTGGGTTTAAGTAAAAATAAAAGACACATTTTTCATTTTCACCAAGAACGTTATTGAACAACGTATTCATTAACTGAGCAAACCTTTTGGCCAACCCAATACATCATATTAATTTTGTGTCAGTTATTGTTAGAATCAATGAAATCATTTGGCTTTGGATAATAATGAAAATATATCTGAAAGATGAATTATTCATTATAATCCTTTTGGTTTTAAGTATATCAAACTGCTAAATTTCTCTCTTTCAGTTGGTTTGGAAGGAAGCAGGAAAGAGTTATGCAAAAATCCAGTCAAGTATCTGTAAAAATACATAGAAATCAAATATGAGGAGGCCATTAGTAGTGCTATTAAAATATCAATGTAAGAATCACTAAATTTATCAAAGCCTTTTGTATATTAAAGAGTTAAAGACAATGTAAAGCCTAAAAACAATATTAATTCATTTTAAAGTAACCTTAAAGAAAATCAGGTATATGCTAAAGGGTCAGTGCCAATTCACTGTTGCAAAATATTTTTTGTATAACTAAAAAAAGAAATCCATCTCTAAGAAATACTAATTTAATGAAATTACGCTAAATCTTGCTCTATGATTGTGGCTCAAGTGTCAGCAAACTATACCCTGTGGACCAAATCTTTATTTTGTAAATAAAGTTTTACTGAAGCTGGACATACTCATTCATTTCTGCTCCTGTCTGCTTTTGCTCTACAAAAGCAGAGTTGAATAGCTGAGCAGAGACTACATGTTGCACAAAGCCTAAAATATGTACTATCTAGCCCTTTAAAGAAAACTGACCAACTCCTACTATAGATAATCAGCTGGAAATTTGGTTGTAAAACCAGGCTGGTCTGTGTATGTATTATTATTATAGAATTTCGAATTTTTATGTAAAGATTTCTTCTCAAAAATCAAAAGAAGTTAAAAAAGAAAGATATAAAGATGTTATGATAGAAAATATACGGATGTCAAAAAAATATATACAGATATCAAAAAAAGAAAATACACAGATGTCAAGTACGTAGGAGAGTTAAATGGCATATATAACATGATTTTTTAATGAAAAAAATATTTTATTTTTATACTTTTATATATACTTATAATATATTCTTCATTAACTAGGAAAAGAAGTAGCTGCTCTTTATATTAGAGTATGTCACAGAAAATTAACTGTCCTACTACTATCGCTTTACTAAAAAGTAGAGAATTAATTCTTCCTATAGGAATAAATAAATAAATAATTAAATATAATTAATTATTTTTTAAAATGAGGGGAGGGAAAGGTGGAAAGAGGGAGGAGAAGGGAGGGGGAGCAGGGCGAGAGAAGCTACTATACCTCATTCTCTAATTGATATGAAGCCAATCTGTGTACCAAAGTTAAGGCCATCTCGGACATGGGAGAAAAACTTGTCAGGATGACAGGAGGTACAGAGGTTGAGATCTTGGTTCTGGTCCTGAATATTCTGTGGTAGAATTCCTCCCTGTTCTAGAAGAATCCTTAGGATGAAGATTTTTCAAAAGACAGAAAGTTTACTTTACCAACAGCCAAAGCAATATGGGAAAAGTATGGATATTGGTGTAAAAGAATTCTGGGAAAGATCTGCTTGGAACAATGCAAATTGTTATTCAGTTACAGAACAAGGACAAGTCAGGAAATGGTAGATTCCACCACCATTAATCACCTAAGTTCATATGTGAACTGTATAACCTCCATATTGTCCTGCAGACATGATCTGGGTATAGGATTCTATAAGCAAAATCAAGTACTTATTTAAGAAGAAACTTTTATAAGCAAAATCAAGTACTTATTTAAGAAGAATCTTGAAGACAAGATTCAATTGATTCAGACAGAGCGTGCTTTGTAGTCATCTGGCTCTCCCGCCTCCTTTCCTTCTATTAACCAGATTTTTCACAGAAAACTTGCTTCTCCTTAAACACTTCATGGTATGAAATATGACTATAAATTAGTGCACTTATTTCACAGGTCACATTTAAGAATCAATTTCAATCCTTTCTACTTATGTACTAAATGAGGCAGAATCTGGGTAAGGTTTTGCTGACTGGAAAAGAAACACGATTCAAATCAGACATCAATTTTCCTTTGTAGAAATGACAAATAATTTTTATTATCTATTAATAGCAAAATTTCATAAATTCAAAAATGCAAGGGACCATAAAAAACTTGAAAGTATCTATGTGTTTATATTATCTAGTATTTTTGCTGAAAAATATATTCCTCCAGTTAATTAGAGAATAAGAATAATTTTAAAATATCAGTTTCCTGATAGTTCATTATATTTAGGAGAATTTAGCTGAGGAATGTCTGTGAAGTGCCATTCTTTTCTATAAAAAGTGCCAACTTTTCTATATGACGTTTAAGTAGATCTCTTAAAATTAAATGCCAGCTGTTTCTTCCTTCACTTTTAAATCAATAAGAGATACCAGATCAAAAGACTGCTGTTATTCAAACTTAAATGAGAAAAGATTTCCTATTTAAAATTAGTTTTTGTGTAAGTGTATATGTCAGCTACTTAAATACCTGCCACCTGAATTTTTCTTGGAGTTACTAATTGTTTTCTAAAATTATCTTCATTTTAGAAGCAATAAGCAATAATCAAACATGCAGCTCTGGACTGCAATCAAGCATACCTCGTGGCTTTACGGATGTCAACATAGGGATTTGGTGAGCCAAAGAGCCGTACACATCCGGGATCAAGATTATGAAATGCCTTTGCTGATTCCCTTGGAAGAGTAAAACAGCAAGGTCCTACTGAAGGCCCCAGTACAACAGTAATGTCTTCCAAACTACAGCTGTATTCTGCTATCATAGCATTCACTGTAGCCATAGCAACACCTAACAAAGTACCTCTCCAACCTAGTAAATAAGAAGAAAAAGAGATAAGCAAAGTTAAAACATAAGAAAATTTCATCATAATTTATATCTAAGTTAAAAATGAACAGTCAGTTTGTGTATTTTCAAAGTCCAGAAATAGTAAATGAATCACAAAATTAATTAATTAAGCCAAATAATCAACTAATTAATTAAAATACTGGTTTTTAAATGAGGTATATTATACAAAGCACCTGACACAGAAGAGACATTTAATGGGAGGTCCCTTCCACTTCCTTTTTAAAATGTTCTATACTTTCAGTTTCCACTGGAATTATATCTTCTTAGTCTTCTCTCTCTCCTTCACTTTTTATGCACACTTTTAAAAATCATGGGAAAAAACACATACCATTTTAACTGTTTACAAGTGTACTCTTCAGTAACGTTAAGTCTATTCACATTGTTGTGCAACCAATCTCCAGAACTTTCTCATTTTGCAAACTAAAACTCTAAGCCCATTAAACAAGAACTTGGCCTTTCCACCTTCCCCAGTCTCTGGCAACCACCTGTCTTCTTTCTGTTCCTATGAATTTGACTACGCTAGGTACCTCCTATAAGTGGAATCATATAGTATTTGTCTTTTTGTGACTGGCTTATTTCACTTAGCGTAATATCCTCAAGATTCATTCAATGTTGTAGCATGGGTCAGGATTTCCTTCCTTTTTAAGGCTGGATAGTATTCCATTGTATGAATTTTGCTTATCCATTCAATCGTGGATGGACACTTGGGTTACTTTCACCTCTTAGCTATTGTGAATAATTCTGCTATGAAGATAGGTGTGCAAATATCCTGCCAACATCCTGCTTTCAATTCTTTTGGATATATATTCAGAAGTGGAATTGCTGGGTAATATGATAATTCTATTTAAAAATTTTTGAGGAACCATCATACTGTTTTCTATAGGAGCTGCACCATTTTATACTCCCACCAATAGTGCATTATGGTTTCCATTTTTCTTCACCAACACTTTTTAAAATAATATTAGTCATCCTAATGGGTGTGAGGTGATATCCTGTGGTTTTGATTTGCTTTTCCCAAATTATTAGCGATGTTGGGCATCTTTTCACATGCTTGTTGGACATTTGCATATCATCTTTGGAGAATGTTCTATTGAAGTCCTTTACCCATTTTTCAATGTTCTATTGAAGTCCTTAACCCATTTTTCAATCAAGTTGGTTTCTGTTGTTGTTGAACTGTAGGTGTTCTTTATATATTCTGAATATTAACTCCTTAGTAGATATATGAATTGCAAATATTTACTCTCAATTGGTTGGGTTGAATTTTCACTTTGTTTACTGTGTCCTTTGATGCACAGAAGTTTTTACTTTTGACAAAATCCAATTTATCTATTTTTACTTCTGTTGCTTGTGCTTTTGGCATCATATCTAAGAAGTCATTGCTTAATCCAAGATCACAAGGATTTACAATTACACTTTCTTCTATGAGTTTTAGAGTTTTAGCTCTTACATTTAGATCTTTGATCCATTTTGAGTTAAGTTTTATATATGACGTAAGATAAGGGTCTAACATTATTTTTTTGCATATGACTATCCAGTTTTCCCAGTACCATTTGTTAAAGAAACTGTCCTTTCCCCATTGTATAGTCTAGGTACCTTGTGAAAAATCATTTGACCATATATGCAAGGGTTTATTTCTGGGATGTCTATTCTATTCCACTGCTCTATACGTCTGTCTTTATACCAGCACCATACATACTGTTTTGATTACTGTAGCTTTATAACAAGTTTTGAAATCGAGACGTGTGAGACATCGAACTTCATTCCTTTTCAAGACTGTTTATCTTTGATATTTTTGAATTTAATGTTTCAAAACCCAGGAAGTAGCAAATAATATTCCCATTTTATATCCAGGAACTAAAACTTAAATTTTAAGTAACTTTTGACAATGTCACTGACTTCTAGTCATTCATTACTTTAGCTCGATAAAAAGAAAAATGCACCACTTTCTTATTTATCTATAGTCTAAAATGCAAAGTAATCGTTGATTTACAAGCAGAAGAAAATCTAAAAGATCATTCTTCATTTTACATAAACTCATAACCACTGGTTAGTCTAAACAGTATTTTTTTTAAAAATCACCAGAAAACAAAATTCCATTAACACAACACAGAACCTAAAAATTCTTTGTTCTTATCTTTAGAGAATAGTTAAAGCCACTAGACTACAGCATACTAAACTAAATGCGGTTTTCCAAACATATCTTGCTTTTTCTTACCTCCACACCTTTACACATGCTGCTGCATTTTCATAAACACCTTCTGCGACCCGACATGTCTCAACTTCCTATTCCCTATTACCTGGACTTCAAGGGTTCTCAACTAGAGGCAGTACAACTCCCTGGGAGTGTTCTGAAAAGCATGGAGGCTTTATTTTTTTGGTTCTTACAACTCTGAGTGCTACTGGCATGAAGAATTTCAAAAAGCCAAGTAAACTTGGTCTGCAGTCAGTGTAAGACTATCTTGCCCCAAATGTTAATAGCACCCCTGCTGAGAAACACTGGCACCTAGCCAAATCCTATAAATCCCCCAGGAATCAGCCTAAGTACTGCTTTCTTTGGGAATTATACTCTGATTCATATAATTTGACTTAGGGACTCCTTTTATCTGCTCCTGTCCTAAGAGTCTGCTAGCTCTTCCCTATCTTTACACTTATCACCATGGGTAGTAATTAACTATTTGTAATGTCCATCAGAAAGAAATTATAACTTTTCCTGTACCAAAAAAATTGGTAAAATCCTAGATGTTAAATTAACTACACTTACCAGAGTGAGCAACCCCACATGCTTTTCTGACAGGATCGGCAAAAACTATCGGTATACAGTCAGCACCAAGAGCCGCTATTGTGACTCCTCTTTGATTTGTGGTGATTCCATCGTAAGATTCAGGCTCCTTCCTTCCCATAATCCAGACATCATTGGCATGATCAGTCTAATACCAAAGATGTGAGAAAAAAATGTTTTGAAGATAGAGTTTCTCATACCATAAGCTTTTCTAAAAGTATGCATCTTGTACAAAATAATATAACCAGTTTAAGGTTACAAGCATTCATTAAATATATCAGGTCCATATATGATAAAATAACAAACTTACTTATTTAACTCTATGATATGATAATCTCTGCATATTTTCCTCAAAGGAAAGCAGACTTTTACATTTAACAAACATTTTAAAAAATTCAAAATAGTCCATCCATCATGAATACCTCCCCCTAGAGATGGGTAAATCTCTAATTGCAGTACTTTCCACAAAGTACTAATTTACTGAAAGAAATTAAATTTCCAAATCAATGATATTTTTACTTTTCCTGGAGTCAAGTAACGCTAGAATTCTGTAAGAAACAATTATCTCATCAGTTGTACCCGAGTTCCTCCTACTATTGATTAATAATGGCTTTTCTCTCCCACCAAGCAGGAACCTTCCTTCTAAATCAAAAAGGGCAGTGGTACTATACTCTGAGAATTCACTATACTTTTAGATGTGAGGAGCTCCAGGTGAAATATATATATATTGTCATAGAATTGATCTTTAGGTTATGGTATACAGCTCTAAGAAAAATAATCACAAACATTATCCTAAATCTTAGATAAAACACTAGATGCAAAAGTTAAAGCCCACGTAGTCATTAGCAGAGTCAAGAATATACTTTAGGTACTTCCCCGGTGGCGCCGTGGTTAGGAATCCACCTGCCAATGCAGAAGACACGGGTTTGATCCCTGGTCCGGGAAGATCCTACATGCCACGGAGCAACTAAGCCCATGCGCCACAACTACTGAGCCTGCGTTCTACAGCCTGCAAGCCACAACTACTGAGCCTGCACACCACAACTATAGAAGCCTACACGCCTACAGCATGTGCTCCACAAGAGAAGCCACCACAATGAGAAGCCCACGCACCGCAAGGAAGAGTAGCCCTTGCTTGTCACAACTAGAGAAAGCCCGCATGCAGCAAGGAAGACCCAACACAGCAATAAATAAATAAATAAGAATATACTTTACATCTTCCAAAATAGGAAACAAAATTGTACCTTTATTCGGTAAAATTTCTTCACATTAAATCCTGCTGCATTCCCCAGCCTACGCAGATTTTCTTGAACAACAGCCTTGGGATCTCTCCGTTTGGAACTACTGAAGAGATTGAATGAGCTAAGAGTTGGTATGTAAGATATCCCACCTGTTCTTGTAGTAAATCCATGTATGAAAATATCTGTTGAAGATAAATAATGAAGATTAAAAACATGACATACAAAAGACTATAAGCATTACAAACCCAGTCTCTCATTAAGACTTTCCCTAACCACCTCAACCTGCATTAGTTTATCTGCCTTCTAATTTCTACAGCTCTTTATACCTCCACCTATTCTTATGACATAATGCTTTGAGTTTGTTTTACCTTCTCTGTGAGATTATTGCTCTTCAAAGGGTATCTTCTGTTCCATTTGTCTTTGTTATCCCAATAGCATATAGCTCACAGTAAACTTCATTCTTCTGTGAAAGCACCAATGAGTTAAGGTTTCAGAATTTCTAAGTGGGAAATGCTTACGGTCATAAATCTCATTTAAAAGGAAGGCTGGGGGATTTGTCTTAAAGCTGAATTTGCATAAAGAGAAATTATTTACTTAGGGTGGCTATCCCTTGACACCCCTGACACTACAAGGCCATGCATGACACTCCCGTGTTGTAACTGATGCTAATGAACACATAAATTCACAACAGTCTACAAAAGAAAGAAGCAAAAAGAGGTGAACAACCTGTAAAGAAAGACTGGTTTTTCACATCCAGTAAAAACAACAGATAGTGTTTAACGTACCTGGGATCAAAGGAGATGTGATAATGGTTAATTCTCCTTTCAGTGTTGGCAAACTTCTCAAATATGTTTCTATTTCATTCTGGATTGCTTCTAGTTCTTGAGCTGTGATTATGTTTATTTCAGTAGGCTGTTTCAAAAGACCTCCCCTCAAAGTCATCTGTAAATCTTCAAACTCAAAATTGTAAACATCAGTGAAGAGTTGACCAATAAAAGCCATCATTAATGTCTTCCGGTGCACAGGCACAATTACCTTAATGCTGCTCAAATTTTTTTCATCAATTTTTTGTTTAATGGTATACAATGAGGCAGCCATGCTGGGATTGCTAACAGTCTCAAATTCTCTCAGTAAAGCAGATAATCCATTGCTTGTTTCTAATTCACAATTATCATGGTCACAGCTGATGTTACTGCAACACATTATGCAAAGGAACTTGGCTTTGGCACCATGGTGGTTTCGGACAGCATTCAATGTCTTTAGTAATGTCTGATGACAGGTTTTCTGAGAGTTTAATTTCAAACCAAAGAGATCTATCAACACTGCTTCTGCCATCCTTCAACACTGTACAAAGTTCTTCAAAGAAGGTTTTTGTGCCCCCCAAAATCACCTGTAAAGAAACATTAGCATAAGTAAGAATACAAAGTTATATCAATCTCCTTATAGTTACAACAGAAACTTGTGGATGGGTAAAAAGAATTGCATTGACTTAAAAATGTAACCAAAATAGTGAATCTAGACTCCTCCCAGAAAAGCTAGTGCACTATTTGTCAGAACCAGGACAATGAAAAGCAAAGCCATCTCTTAATTCATTTTGTGAAAGTACTTTACATCTTTCCAGCAGAACAACAGTTTTTGTTTTGTTTTGTTTTCAGGTAGTAATTTTTTAAAAAATATCTTTATTGGAGTATAATTGCTTTACAATGGTGCAGGTAGCAAATTTTAAGCAGGAAATTACTTGTTGACTTAGACAAAGTCCTGTATTTTAATTACAGGGTGTCAACTTATTGATATATCATTAATCCGGATATGACTGGTTTGCTAATTTACATCCCTTCATATGAAATACCTGGGTCTCGAGTTCAATAGGTTAAAAGGAGCTGCACCTAAAAATTATTAAATTCTTGCTTTTTTTTTCCTTGAGAAAAATTGCATTTTGTTATTGTTGTTTTTCAGAAGCAGACTCACAGATACAGAGGACAAACTAGTGGTTACCAGCGGGGAGAGGGAAGGAGGGAGGGGCAAGATAGGGGTCGGAGATTAAGAGGTACAAACTACTATGTATAAAATAAATAAGCTACAAGGATATGTTGTACAGCACAGAGAATATAGCCAATATTTGATAATAACTTTAAACGGCATAAAATCTATAAAAATATTGACTCACTATGTTGTACACCTGAAACTAATATTGTAAATCAGCTATACTTCAATTTTTTTTAAATGCGTTTTTAAGGAGATAAAAGCAGACTCCAGGATTCACGCCGGACTCAGGTATGGCAATTATGTCACAAGCAACCGCAGTTTGGATCAGGTGTGCGTCCCACCTGCTCCCCTCTTCACTCCTCGCGCACAGATCTTCTCACCCCAGCCCCTGCCCTCCCCCACCCCAGACTGCCGGTCTCTCTTTGGTGACCCCTTCGGTGACCCCCTTTGCCCCGGATGGTTTTCTCCTGCCGCCACTCCTAACCCCCTCGCTCTGGACCGTGAAAAGCCCCACGACGCCTCTGCCACCCGCCCGGTCCGCTCTCGGCCCCGTGGGGCGCAGATCCTCACCTGCTGGACTCCTCCCGCCCCTTCGAGATTTTCCGACGGCCAGACGCACACCCAAGGCCTCTCCGTCCTCGCCCGTCTCGCGTCGCCTTGCGCTGCACACTCGGTGGGCGGCGAGCTCTGAGGCGTCTGCCGCCTCCAGTCCTCCGCCCGAACGAGACCGGGAGGCCGCGAGCTTGTGCCCGGGCGCTGAGCGGGCGGCGCCCGTCCCGCCTCACCCGCCTGACCGCGGACTGACGGAGCCCCCGCCCGGCAGCCCCCTGACAGCCGCGGAGGCCGGGCCGGGGGGCTGGGTGCCGGGGAGGCGGGAGCGACCCGGGGAGCGACCCTCGGGTCGGACGCGCCAGACCGCGTGGAACCGTCAGCAGTTCCGGGTCAGGAGGGCGCCAGCCCGCACCCGCCGCCCGGCGTCAGGAGGAGGAACGGGAACCGGAGCAGCGCACTGACCGAGTGACCGGAGCCAGGCGGGTCCGCGGGCCGGTGGCTGGGCGGGGCGCGAGGGAGCGGGGCGGGCCTCCTGACTGGGCGCGCGGCCTAGCGGCCTCGGGTCGATGACCTCCTCCTGCTGCCCGGGGTCGATGAAGCCCTTTCCCGGCGTCCGCGCTCCCAGTCGGGCCACAACGAGTCGCCGGCCTGGCAGCGCGGTCGGGACACTAGGTTTCCACCCCAGAGTCCAGGCCTGAGAACCTCCTTGCGTTAGCACTCGGCACTCTGTCCCATCCAAGTTCAAGTAACGTGCCTCCTGAGGTAGACTTTTTATTTTTTTAACGGTTTTGCTTTAGTTGTTTCCAGAAACGAGTTGACTGAACCCCTCCTTTGCCTTTTTGCTGATCCTGCCTAACTTGCTGACTAAACTTTACGGCTCCTGCACGTGTGTGGATAAACTGAGGTCCTAGGTGCCCTTTGAAAAATACGCGCCAGGAGTAGAAAATTAGAAGGCACTGACTCTTAGAGTTGTGATAAAGATGTAAATTAGCATCCTTTCTCTGCCCTGAAAGAGCATAACATTCATTTATTTAAAAATATTGAACAGCTCCTACGTATATGGAAGGCAGACGCTCTGGCCAAGGGGAAATATCTCCAACCTTCAAAGAGTAGGAGAAAGGATGCTTCCTGTGGAACTGGTTATGACGGAAGGAAGGGATCCCTTTCTTCTGACAGTCGCTCAGACGATAAGTGCTGAAGAACCTGTCCCTGAGAGAAAGAATCTCAGCCATCTGGGAGTTTAGAAGAGCACCTGAAGTGGGCAGGCGCTGCTATTCTATGGCGTCACCAACCCAGAATAGGAACCCACTGTTCAGTATCTGGCAGATGTTTCTGTCAAAAATTGTACTTTCATCATTTTTGCTGGACATTTATTAAGAGCACTGAGTGCTATGTGGTGCACCTGATCCGCTCTGCCCTGAGCTTGCTTTATGTTAAATATTACTGTAAGCAAAATAGAGGTCTTTAGTTAACAAAGCTAGGTGAAAACATTTATCTCTTTTTATAGACAATGGTGGGAATTCATTTTCTGTCGTGCAACGGTAACAGTAAAAAAGTTAAAAAAGAAATATTTCAGAATAGGGAAGCTGTCAGGGAAGAGAAAGTTTGCTGTTATATTGTATTTATATACCATTTCCTTTCACCATCTGGTACTGGGCTGTGGCCTCATCTCCTAGCACTCTCTTACCTCATCCCCATTCCCCCCACTGCAGTGGCTCTCAATCCTGGCTACACCTCAGAACTACAAGTAGAACTTAAAAAATAAATAAATCCAGGGAGCTTCCCCCTCCACCACCTCCAGATATACATTTGAATCAGAAACTCAGGGAGTCAAGTCTCACTCCGGGAGTCAAGTCTCGGCCTGTTTTGCTTTGCTTTTTGTTTTGTTTTAATCTCTACAGATGATTCAGATGCATAATTAGATTTGAGAAAACAACTTCCCTATTCCCAAGCCACTCAAACTAAAGGCTGTTCCTTGGAACACCGTATGATTTCATCCTTCGCATAAGCTATCCCTTCTGCTTAGAACACTCTTCTCTTTATATGCTCTTTTTAGCTGTTACTTGTTCAAGACCCTTCAAGCTCAAACATCATCTTGAATCCCCATCCCCTCGCTAAGCAGAATTAACTGCTTCTTTTAGCATTTTGTTTGTATAGGAGAAGCTCTCTCATAGATGCAATCTGTATCCATAACCAAGCAGTACATTGAAAAAGTCAATTAAACATTAAATTGTGTACCTCATAAAGATGAACATGGTAGTATATAAATTATATCTAAATAAAACTGTTTCAAAGGAAAGTCAGTTAAACCAGAGAGTTATGAAAAAGTATACCATAATACGTTAAGCAATTTTTAACCTAAAACAACTATATGCTTGTTTGCCAATCTGTTGAGAAGGTCCAAGGCCTTTTCTTTGCACATGGCCTCCTGATTAGAGTTCTGCATCATATCTCTTCCATAAACTACACTTCTCAACCATCAGCTAAGCTTTCCCAAGATTCGGTTCCTTTAAGAGGAAAATAATCTAGAGGGACTTGTGAAGCTGAGTGCAGATTTCTTCTTTATAATCATTTATAGTTATCTCACACATTCAAACAACTCACCTTAGTTGGGTCTTTCCAAAATATTAAACATAGCTTTTAAAGAAACAACAAACTTTATTTCCACACTATTTCATTGGTTTACATAATATTTAATTAAATTATGAAAGCACAGTGACAAGTACAGCTGGCATAAACAGGTTCAGGAACAAACACAAGTGACATTGTCAGATGTACAGCTCCACTGGTAGGAGCAGAAGCGGGCAGACTCACTGGAGAGTAGCTTTCTAACCCTTTAGCATTCAGCATGCGCATTCAACGTGATGTGGGAATTAGCAGCTTATGATTTAAAAGGAAACAAAATGAGTCAATTGGTTAGAGGTTAAGTGTAGGTAGACTAAGAGAACGCCTACTGTTCCTCTACATTTTCATTATTTGACTTTCCATCTATTTACCCCATAGAGACTTAGAGCATTTTGGGGGCAGAGAGAGTGCCTGGCTGTTGAGGGGAACCATTGGGAAAATCCCCAGGCATTCTTTTTTTTTTTTTTTTTTTTTTTTTTTTTTTGCTGTACGTGGGCCTCTCGCTGTTGTGGCCTCTCCCGTTGCGGAGCACAGGTTCCGGACTCACAGGCTCAGCGGCCATGGCTCCCGGGCCCAGCCGCTCCGCAGCATGTGGGATCTTCCCGGACCGGGGCACGAACCCGTGTCCCCTGCATCGGCAGGCGGACTCTCAACCACTGCGCCACCATGGAAGCCCCCCAGGCGTTCTTAATCACCATGTAAATCCATATCCTGAGAACAATTAGAATAAAATTGGGAACAGTTGTCTTTAAACCATTTACACTAGGGTTTATGAGTCCTTCCAGAAAAGGACATGTAACATGCAAATTTCCTTGTTAAAAGATTATGTCAGTTTCCTAAGTTTTCCATAACAAATGAACACAAACTGGATGGCTTAAAACAACAAAAATGTGTTGTCTTATAGTTATGGAGGCAGAAGTCTTAAATCAAGGTGTGTCAGGACCGTGCTCCCTTCAAAGCTTTCCTTGCCTCTTCCAGCTTCTGTGGGCTCCACGTGTTCCTTGCGTTGGGGTGCATGACGTGGGGCTCTATGCCTCTGTCCTCACATGGTCTACTTTCCTGTGTGTCTGAGTCTCAAATCTCCCTGTACCTTTCTCACATAAAGACACATGAGTGGAAATAAAGAAAAGGCCAACCATAGAGTAAGCAAAGCCTATTTAATCAGAGCTTGCTAGA